AATATCATGATAAGGTTTAATTATGTGGAAGTATAAGAACATGTTATCAATGTAACTTTTTATTATTTGATGGAAGTTTACATCGTTTTATTCATAGGACCATTCCGAGAATTTAGAAAGTATAAAGGATAGGAAAGATCAACTTGTCTTTATTTGGCTCGATTACTGGATTTGATTTTCTCCCATTTTACCATTGTATTTCTTTAATGAATGTATAAAGAAATTATATGAATGCGATATTTGTTAATTTTTTCATAGGACCGTTCAATGATTATTTTTTGGGAAAGTATTCCCATTCCTGACTAATGAGGTGAATAAAATGTTAGTAGATCGTTTTCATTGTACAGTCAGTTAATATAATTATGTTCATTCTTTACTTCAATTGGTGCTTGTTTTATATCATTGGTTCAAGCCTGAAAACATGGATACGACTTTTCAGGGGTTTTCGATGACGAGGAATTCATTTATGACACCAATTTCTTTTTTAAAAATAATATATTAGTCTTAAATATCATAATTAGCATAATATGTACAATATATGGACTCCAATTGTCATTGTTTATCTATAAAGCCTAAAAATGGTGCAATGCAACATTGTAAATCACTTTTGAAAGACTAATTATTAATTCTTGAGAAGATATTTCATATAGATGTAGTATAATTAGCTTAATCAGCATATTATGTGCAATATGTAATAATGTTGCTAATCTCAATCCAGGAAGCCTGAAAACATGGATAATATGACTTTTCCAGGAATTCTGCCACCAGTTTGAGCAACGTCCGGCTTGTTCTCTCAGTCTCAATGGTTCTGGCTTTGGTAAACATAGACAGATCATAGTTCGCACTGTTGTATTCCCTGTTACATCCCTGGCCTATGTACGTTTCTGTCTCACCACATCATCAATTCCATCATTATCATCTGCTTTAACCATATTCAGTGTGTTTCCGACAGTCTCTCTAAATCCAATGACTGAAGCCCAACCACCAATGCGTATGGTGAGCCTGTCATGTCCTAGACATTTCATGAGGTTCGACAATATTGCCTTACGACCAAGATAACCACCATATTGGACATACAATTTGTGAAGCTAAATAGAGTCCCAAATAATTGATAATTTACATATATGCTAATTAGGCATATTAGTACAATAATTACATATCAAGCCAATTGCATTACTTAAAAATAAAAACTGGTGTCACAACTAAATCCCACGTCATGGAAAACCCCAGAAAAGTCATATTATCCATGTGTTCAGTCTTTCTGGATTACGATTAGCAACATTATTACATCATTATGGCACATACAGTGTATATGCTAATTAGGCTAATTATACGACATCTACATGGAATATCTTCTAATGAATTAATGTGTAGTCTTTCAAAAGTGATTTACAATGATGCATATTGCACCATTTTTAGGCTTTATAGATAAACAATGACAATAAAGTCCATATATCGTACATATGCTAATTAGCTCATCATGCTATTTAAGACAATTGCATTACTCAAAAATAAATTTTGGTGTCATAAATGAATTCCTCATCATAAACAATCCTTGAAAAGTCACATTATCCATGTTTTCAGGCTGCCTGGATTGAGATTAGCAACATTATTACATATTGCACATATGCTAATTAGATTATTATGCTAATTAGGCTAGTTATACTACATATACATGGAATTTCTTCTCATGAATTAATGATTAATCTTTCAAAAATGAATTACAATGTTGCATTGCACCATTTTTAGGCTTTATAGATAAACAATGACAATGAAGTCCATATATTGTACATATTATGCTAATTATGCTATTTAAGACAATTGTATTACTTAAAAATAAAAATTGGTGTCATAAATGGATTCCTTGTCATATAAAACCTTAAAAAGTCGTATTATCCATGTTTTCAGGCTTCCTGGATTGAGATTAGCAACATTATTACATATTGCTAATTAGATGATTATGCTAATATGGCTATTAAAAAAGTTGCCCAAGGTTGCCAAGCCGGCAACCAAGCCGAATTTACTTCAATACCAATCTAGAACACAAATCAACAAAAAAACCTTGTACTTATCAACTTTTCCAGGTCATGTACATAGTATATGGTACCGTCTACTCGACTAGAGCGAATTATTGAATTAACAATCGAGTTGTATAGATATTTCATTCTACAATTTATTTCAAGCCATTCTTGAATAATGAAGCTTCGCTATCACTTACCAGGTGGCACACAGATTACGATGAATAATCCCACAGCCAGTGCTGTTTTAACCGCCATGTTGAGCAACATGTTCACAGAGCAACTAATGTTAACGGATTTACGTGGATATTATAGATGAATATCTTTGTTATGCGCGCTGGCGTTGGCGTAGTATGTACGATGGCGTATCAACTGAAAATATTTTACACAATATACTTATAAACAATGGAACAAAAAGCACTTCAAGGTTTGGTGCACTTGAAAAGCACCCTCTCTAGTAGCTTTCCATGATACATAATGTTCAGCATAATATTATGGTAGACAGCCACAGGTACGGATCCAGGAATTTTGGAAAGGACGCGGAGGGGGGGGGGGGGGAGGGGCACAATGTAAGAAGGACGAAAGCGCCGAGTACGTAGCAAGGGAGATTTAAAAAGTATTAGACACGACAATTAAATTGGTTATTAGAAAGGAAATGAATTGACGATAAATTGCAACACATACCACCAGGTCGTATCCTGACACCTACCCCTGGACATCCACCACCCGGATACCCATTTCCAGTTAACTACCCCTAGGAAAACTACCCCTGAAGGCAACTACCCCCGGACAACTAACCCCCGGACAACTACCCCCGGACAACTACCCCCAGACAACTACCTCCTAGAACAACTTTCCTCGGACAACTACCTACCGGACAACTACACCCGGGACAACTACCTCCTAGGATAGTTGTCCGGGGATAGTTGTCCTAGAGGATGGTTTTCGTAGGGGTTAGTTGTCTAGGGTTGTTTTCCGGGCTGTAGATGTCCGGGGTTGTTGTCCTAGTGGGTAGTTGTCCGGGGGCTAGTTGTCCGGGGGCTAGTTGTCCTAGGGGTAGTTGTTCTAGAGGGTACGTTACTGAGGGGGGGGGTCGTTGCCCTATAGGGGATAGTTGTCCTTGGGGTACATTGTAGTTGACTGGGAGTGGTTATCCGGGGGTGGATGTCCAGGGGGTAAGTGTTCTAGAACCCGCCAGGTAAAGGCGTTTATGAATGTTACCAATGTCGGTGTCATGCTGGGAGGGTGATCCACAAAATAATACGAATCTGATAGTTTGTGGTAATTTCAATGGCCACAACACTATTTGGGGAAGAGGACAAACTGATCCAAATGGTTGAGAAATCGAAAAGTTTGCAGCAAACAGTAATCTCGTAATATTGAATGCTGGGAGGGGAACCCGGCTGGACCCACAAACAGGGAAGCTATCGTGTCTCGAAATTACATTAGGTACTCCAGCTTTAGCAGCAAAGAGCAAAACTGTATTCCTAAAATGAAATGCAGAAATAGTGGTAAGCCACCGATAAGCTGGTGGAACGATAAGTGTAATTTGGCTATAAATGAAAGAAACTCTTCAAGATTATTACATTACAGTTTGAAAAGCAAACTTGGAGAATCCCCTATAAAACATGAATAGACGAACAATAATGATACTGCACAAACTTAAAAGCGCGATGGATAGATCTAACAATTCTTCTCCACGTCAAGATGAGATCATTTTGTCATTGATTGTCGAGCTACCTATCCAGTCATGTTTAATCCTTCTTAAATTATTAAATATAATATGGGACAAGACCGAAATTCCAAATCAATGGCGCCGAGCAATCATGGTGCCAATAATTAAGAAGGATTTAAACCCTTCTCATCCTTCATCGTATTGCCCTATGGCTCCGACTTCACTAATTTGCATATAATTCGATTATTCGAGTTATCGAATCAGTGCATTTGTGAGAGAATGCAACGTAAACAATATAGTTCAGGGTCAAAGTTGTTTACGCTAGCAAAGTGCAGAAAGGTCAAAAGAGAAACTATTAGTTAAGCGCATCGCGCGCGATACCGGTAAAGTGCGCGCATTCCAAGCTAGCATGCGCGGCACAACAACTGAATTCGCCTCACATACTCAGAAAGGTCAAAAGACACATTGTAGAGGGCGCTATTGCGGTGCAGACTCATTTTAAATACCAGGATATATCCCACCAGAAAATCGTCGAAAATCACCTTTTCTGTTGTGCATCATCACCTGAGAACATTATAATTATATCATTGAATGATCATATTGGATACTCGTTTATGTTTTTAACGTGATCTGCGAACTTTTGGACGTTTATTACTCATTTCATCGATGCTGCTTTTTATATATACGTGAACTTATACGGTAACTTATTATTACGCATTATACACCATCACAACTTTCGTCATTCGTTAACTTGACATTTGCAGTTATATAACTTTCGTCATACGTGATTTGTGTTGTATACACATGGTGATTTATTGTATGCTTCATATTTGAACATTATACAGAGTTACTGACCGTTGAGTGTTGCATGATCTTTGAACAAATTTTAACTCAGAATGTCGTCGGTAAAAACAAACAGATACAAGGGAACCCCTGGAATGGACAATTTTTCCTATAAATTACCGAAAGGGATAACCGTTAGCAGCATCCGTCACGCTGTACAGATAATATGTTCATCTCATCTCCTTCATTCAGACGTAGACTTAGATAATGAACATATAAAAGACAATCTCATCCGCATATATCCACTCCTAAACCCGTTCATATGCAGCCATTTTGTTCTGACCCGGAACGTAGAAGTACCGAGTGAGACAGACAAAGAGGACGAATCTATTGTCAGTCAAGTGCCCTCATCTAATGACAATAGAGATGCAAGCCAATGTCAAATATGTGATTTAAAATGTCACGACAGCGAGACAATCTGCATGAAATGTAAGTGCATGCCACTTAGATTAGACCAATTATCCATGGAGTTAAAGAAAGTGCAGCATGTGATCGATGCTTTGTTAGACACTCCGCCGTCACACCCATCACCTCAGCAGAAGAACACAGCTACATTGAAAACATCTCAATCAACCTCGTCAAGCAGCCGATCTGACCAACCCACACCACCTGGAACCACCCGAACACGGCCAGTCGACCAGAACCCCCCAACCACGCAGCCGTCAGCATCCCTCACTCCCAACACAGGTAGCATCAGATACCACTCGAGCACCTCGACAACCTCCTCCAGCCCCCTACCAGAACTTCCAACCCATGCAAGCACGAAACCGTCAACATCCGGGTTCGCTACCGAACCCGTCAGGCCCACCACTCACTCAGCAACGTTACCAGCAGACAACTGCCCCACCACCCGATCAGCACCGCCGCAACTTCCCCAACTTCCCTTTCTACCGAAATGCCCAATCCCAGCCCCCATCCACTCCTTTCAACCAACAATACCGAAACCAGTACCCTCCCATCAATTCACAGCAACTATCACACAGTATGTTGAACCAGGAACCTCCAAGAGACTACATTTATGACCAACAACGTGCTCTATCCAATTCGCGCCAAAGAGCCTCCTACGCATCTGCTCTAGTGAACCCTCCCACATCCTCTCTATACGACGATTTATACATGTTAGGATGTGAAAATTGTGGAGAAGAGAACCACAGAGCCCGAGCATGTCGACACGGAATGCAACTCCAATGCCGTTACTGCATGCAATACGGTCACAAGGCAAAAATATGTCCGTTCTACTATTAGCACACAGGCCAAGAAGAGAGTGCCCAGATAGATTGTACTGGAGCATGTCACTCACCTGTTGAAGAACTGCCTTATGTAGACAATTGTAAACTCATAAATTCATACACTGTTTCATGTACTGTGAATCAAAACAAAGGGGATATATTACGTAAACCTAAATTGAATGAAAGTGACGTAATATATCACACGCAAAACAGTTCTCACACACCTAAAAGTTTGAAAAGTTTGAAATGTATCTCCTTAAATGCAAGAAGTGTTGTTAATAAGATTGAAGAAATTCAAACAATTATCAAAATCGAAAATCCTGATATATTTGTATGTACGGATACGCATTTAAGTAAGGATATTTTATCTAATGAAATATTTCCACAAACGTATATCGTTATAAGAAAAGATAGAAATCGGCATGGCGGTGGCCTTCTTATTGCCTACAAAACCCATTTGTCTGTGACGCCTAGACCAGACCTGGAAACAGATTGTGAGATCCTTTGGTGTGAAGTAATATGTCACGATAATAAATCTTTGTTTGTAGGTGTGTTTTATAGACCACCGAGCAGTAGTTTAGATGTGATTAAAGAGCTTAATAAATCTATGTCGATATTATCAAATCATGGTAAGAAGGCTAGAAATGTTATTCTAACCGGTGATTTCAATCTTCCTAAATTAAAGTGGCAAGACGGACATATTGTAGAAATAGATAATACTGATTTAACACAAAATATACTTACGATCATCGAGAACAATTTTTTATATCAACACATATCGCAAACTACAAGGATCACTGATACTACCAGTAGCATATTAGATCTTTTATTTACATCTGATCCATCCATTGTTAGTAATGTGAATATTATTCCCGGTATAAGCGACCATGAGGCTATTGTTTTTATTATTAATTGTACATTAAAGGGAAAAGGTTGCAAACCCAGAATGACTTATTCTTATTCAAAAGCAGATTTTAACAAATTTAGAAATGATTTAGAAAACGCACCATTAACGGAATCACTTGTAAAAGAGGACTTAGAATCATCATGGCAATCTTGGAAAAATATTATACTTAATGTTGTAGATAAGAACGTACCTCATAGAAAAGTAACAAGAAAATATCACGTTCCGTGGATAGATAAAGACGTTAAGAGACTGTTTCGGAAACGAAGGAAATTTTTCGAAAAAGCTAAAAAATCGAATTTACAATCCGACTGGAATAAATTTCGTAAAATAAGACGAGACACCAAAAGACTTATTAAGCTAAAATATAAAGATTATTTGCAAAACAACCTCTGTAAGGACATCAAAAGTAACCCCAAAAGATTTTGGAATTTTGTTATTAAAATCAAAGAAAAAAGTGCAAAACCCGATTCCGTGCCTGAAGGTAAATGGAATTACTTTTACTGACGATAAAGAAAAAGTAGATACTCTAAACAAACAATTTGAGTCTGTATTTAAAGACACTAATGATGGTCCTTTTCCACCATGTGAAGAAAGAAATGATGTTCCTGCCATGAGTGATATTCATTGTTGTGTCGCTGACGTATGTAAGTTGCTCAAAAGCATTGACGTTAATAAGGCTCAAGGTCCTGATGGATTATCTCCCCGTGTATTGAAAGAAGGGGCGGAGCAGCTTGCACCCTCGCTTTGTCAATTGTTCAATATGTCACTTTCTAAAGGAGAGTTACCAATTGACTGGCGAAGAGCAAACGTGTCTCCCCTTCTTAAGAAAGGTAACAAAGAAGACCCGGGTAATTATCGCCCAATATCACTTACTTCAATTACTTGTAAACTACTCGAAAAACTTGTTTGTAAACATCTTGTTGATCATTTTAATCTACACAATGTCTTATGTGATAACCAGCATGGTTTTCGCGAAAAGCGGTCATGCGAGACTCAATTGATTGAAGCTATTCACGACTGGAGTAGTTGGATGAACTCCGGCTATAGTGTTGACATAGCATATTTAGACTTCGCTAAAGCGTTCGATAGCGTGTCGCACAATTTATTAGAACGAAAGTTAAAAATGTATGGTATTCAAAATTCAAATTTAAAATGGATCATGAATTTTTTGAAAAATCGTTCACAACGAGTCGTCCTCAATGGTGAATACTCTAATTGGGTAGACGTAAAATCAGGTGTACCACAAGGGACAATTTTAGGTCCAATCATATTTTTATGTTTCATAAACGACATTTCCTATAATATTGATTCAACTATAAGACTTTACGCAGATGATTGTATTTTATATAGGCCTATCCACTCTATTGAAGATTGCAAACTTTTACAAAAGGATTTAGAAAATTTAGATAAGTGGGCAAATTCATGGCTACTTGATTTCAATGTAAACAAATGTAAGATAATGCAAATGTCAAGAAAGTCCTCTAAACCACAGTATGAATATAAATTGGGTGGACATAAATTAATTAACACTAAGTCAGAAAAGTATTTGGGCATTACTATAAATGATACCCTTAATTTTAATTCTCATTGTAACGAAACATACGCAAAGTGTAGTAAGATTGTAGCTATAATCAAAAGAAATTTTCTTAATTGCCCACGTTCTGTGTTTAAAACCTTATATGACTCTCTTATACGTCCATGTCTAGAATATTGTTGTATTGCATGGGACCCCTATAGAGTTTCACATATAAATATTATTGAACGTGTCCAAAAACGATATTTAAGAATGATGTTTAGAGACTGGGAAACAAGTTACCATGAACTATTAGAAAAATCAAGTTTTGCAAAATTAGAAGAAAGACGCAAGTACCACAGATTAGTCATGTTTTATAAAATAATAAATAATATGGTAAATGTTGGTCCGATTGAAAAAATTATACGTGCTCATAGAATTGGGCGTAATGATCATAATATGAAAATGTACGTACCATTTGCAAAAACAGATTATTTCAAAAACTCTTTTTATATAAGAACTGCCAATGAGTGGAACATGCTCCCAAGTAATGTTATTAATAGTCCATCTCTTTCAACTTTCAAAATATCATTAAAAGTTGCTTACATATTTAACTTTTTAAACTCCGCAATAACAATTTGTCTTTACATTTTTATACAATTACATCCAAATTCGCGCAATATCAACTATATTTTAATTTTTACCTTAGATCATGCTGCAAATTTTTTTTATATAGCATTTTGATCCCTGAAATACCCAATCATTTGTATATTCAATAATGCTGTTTTGCAATCAATAATACTTTATGTATTTATTTTCGCTCTAAACTACATTGTGTATATAATTATTTGATGTATTATCGTGTTTGATATCATTTTTTTTGTTGTAACTATGTTATGCAATAATAATATTTGTGAACTTTGCTTTTTATCAGGGATGCAGACTTGTACGGGTTTTTCAAACCCTTTTCTGCATCCCTAGACATGCTTGTCTGAATAAATACAATACAATACAATACAATACTCAACAAGTTCCACTGGGGTTGGATGTTTTTTCTTTTCCCGCCTCCCCACCCTTCTACTCCTCAGACAATAAGACAAGAAGAAAAAAGAAGTAGAAAGTGAAAGAGCTAAAAGAAAGGGGAGGGAAATGTACACAGCAGGGCTCGGGGAGGATAGATTTGAGACATGTGGCCAAAAACAAAAAAGTGATGATGATGATTATGGTTGGTTGGTTTGGCTTGATGCATTTTAAATAAATGGTTGGTTGGTTGGTTGGGCTAGTATGCTGTTAATGAATGGATGGTTGGCTGGGCTTGTAATAATTCGTGTTATGGTTGGCGGGATGGGCTTGTATTCTTAATTGGAACAAAGTTTTGGTTGGTTGGTTGGGCTAGTGATGTTCCAATAAATGGCTGGTTGGTTGGGCCAGTAAGCTATTAATGAATGAATGGTTGGCTGGGCTAGTATAATGATTCGTTTTAAAGTTGGCTGGATGGGCTTGTATTCTTAATTGGAACAAAGTTTGGTTGGTTGGTTGGTTGGGCTAGTGATGTTCCAATAAATGGCTGGTTGGTTAGGCCAGTAGACTATTAATGAATGAATAGTTGGCAGCTGGGCTAGTAATAATTAGTTTAATGGTTAACCGGATGGGCTTGTATTCTTAATTGAAACAAAGTCTTGGTTGGGTGGTTTGGATTGAAGATTCATCTGAAAATTCGGTTTTGGCATTCTTTATTTTGAAAATAATTATGCTGAAGGGTTGTGGCTCGTAGAGCCTTCTTGGACGCTGTAATTAAGTAGATATAAGTGCCCAGATAGATGTATCGAAGCTTATCATAACTCATCCTGCTATGAAATTATTATATGTATGTTTGGGGTTGAAAATTGTCAAGGTTGCTTATTGCTATTGATATTTATGTTAATTGTTGTTCATAACAGGGGAGAGCGGTTTGCCCAATGGCAAGGAGGGGCTCTCAGTAGGAGAGGTTGTTTAGGGGAATCCGTAATCTCAGGAAACTGGGACTTCGGTTGGATGTCTTCCTCCCGGCTGGTCACGTGACCCGGGTTCCCCTACTTAGTATCTCGTTTTTATTTAGCCTCTCCCCTCTTCCCTGTACAATATAGTGCGGGTACAAATATCGCCCCTTTTTAATTTCATTGCATTTCTGTTATTTGATTGTGACATTAATTGTTGGACGGTTTGAAAGGGGGAAATTCTATCCCCAGTGGAATAAATGTTGAGAAAATGGCAAACAATGTATCCATGTTGTATTTCTTCTCACAATGGAAGATTTATCCAGAACCGCCTAAAGTATCAATATGAATCCTATTCGAAGTGGCTTTAAAACAGGTAGGAACATTCTAGAGTCTA